AACCTCAAAAAGTAAACAGAAGCCTACAAAAGATACTTGTATGTATAAAAATTAGAAAATATACACTAAAATGAATTTTCAAAGAGCATCAGTTAAGAAACTTTCTCTCAGTGTTCTCTCTTCTGTCCCTTCTCTTATTAGGGGTTATACTTCACAGCACCACAGGATTCTTAAAGGAACATTATTGATTTTATTAAATCACCTATAGCTCATGCATAAATCACTGCTCCACATGAAGAGCCAATATATTAGAGAATCTAAATATAAACTTTTCTTTGTGGGGGCAAGTGGAAATTATAAAATCACAATCTGATGAATTTTGAAGTCTTGAGAAAACACATTTATTTCCATGTATTATAGCTTGGAATATCTTTTTGCACTAACTCATTGATAATTACTCCAGCAATTTTCATTTTTCCCTGTTACAGTAAGCAGCGAGAGAAGGAGAGAGGTTTTGCTATGTGATTAACTGTTTTAAAATAAACTCCACCTTTAGATATCAAGAAGGTTAGGGCTGCAATAAATTGGATTCAGTCCAGAATGAGACTTGCATTATATTTGTATGTCACTAAAATTCTGAACCTGTTTTTGTATTGATCTAAATTTATTGGTCATTTTGATTTTTGAAATATTTTTAGGGAAAAACTGTGAAAAACACAAAAATGTTTTCTTACACTGCAACAATTTCAAATTTATCACTTTAATAGAGTATGCATTACAAGTCACAGGATGTATAGGGTTCAGTCATTATTAGGTTGCACACATTTAAAAATCACACTGTGAGTAGAAATTCAAAGGTTTCTTTCCTCTCCCCAAACACAGTCTCCTTAAAGTCAGCCAGAGCTGGACTTGCATGTGGCTTCTCTACACATAGAAACTTTGTTATGCTCTTTAAACTCTCAAACTGAAGGTTCATTTTATTTATAAAAGAGAAATAGTACCACTTCCCTTACTGAAGTGCTGTGAGGACTACAAGAGGCACACGTGTGTCAATGGCTCATTTGTCCCCCCATAGTGGCTGTCTCAGGGCTGCACGGCTTTTAGGGCCCAGGCTCCTACTAGACGATTACCCTCAGCCTCGCCTTGAGCTCTTTGTGGAAATGAGCTGATTTCTAGTCAACAGGTGACTCTCTAGATTACTTGAAGAGAGCAAATTAAAAGTCTATTTTGGGTTGATCTAAGTTTTAGGGTTTGCTTTGTTGCAGTTTGGCTTGTATCCTAACCAGTAAAAAAAAAAAAAAAATATGTATTACGTTAGCATACACCTTCAAATACAGTTAGATTTCAAAGAATATCCAATCATTGTTAGAATGGCTTCTGAGAATGCTCATAAGTGATTCTTCTTTTAGAAAAAAAAAATCATTCTATAGCTGCTGCTTTAGCTTCCAATCTTCAAGATAATAATTTTTGAAAATATGAAAGTTGGCTCATTTTATGTTATCCTGGTATTTCTGATCTACTCTTCCTAGGCAAAGGAAACATTTAATTCTTCATCACATCACAACAAAGCAATTATTTACAGATTTAAATTAATATTATTATGAAAGTGGTACAAAAGATTTCACAGGCTCAGGCTCAGTGCCAGGGCAACGAAAAACAACACTCTATAAACAATTTCAAACTCAAATATACATTGGCTGCATGTGAAATTTTACAGTATAGAAACAACAAACAAAATGAGTACACAAACAAGAAAATTAGGATACCATCTTACAACAGCACCATGTAGAAACCCTGGCTAAGGTTTTGCCAAAAGTACTATCCTGAGATATTTCAAGATGAACAATCTTTCACATTTAGGTAGTGCCACACAGAAGTGCACACGGGCTCACATTTGCTTCTGTTTGGTAAGGGCCTGGTGTGAAATGACTGAGGCTTGGTTGGTAGCGATTTTGTATTGTTCTTGTCCAGAGCCTTGTGGCGGGGACGGAAGTGGTGTTTCAGGAGTCGCTGGAAGAGAAGCAGAGAACAATACTTAGCAGCAGCGGCCCTCCTGCCCACCTCAGGAAACCCCGCACAGTGCTAATGTGTACACTGTATTTTGGAAGTGTTTTTGAAAGATTCCCCCATTTTTACTCTACAGCATTAGAGCAACCCAGAATTCTTCATAGTTACTTTAAAAGTTAAGATACTGATAAAAGATCTACAAACTGCTGTACAGGGATTCAGGGTAAGTCCTGAGGGCATTTGACTGACCTTGTCAGATACAAAGTTACATTTCTTGTTATGTAGGTCTTGCTTTATCTTGGTCCAGCAAAAAAGTATAAAATTGAATTATAATAAGTAAAGTCATATTAATATACTGAGCTGTAGAAGGTTCAATTCAACAACTTCTGACACTGCCAGTCATGCAGATAATCCACTACTATTACAGACTACTGGACTATATTGGATTACTCTGCTGAATTCATGCCCCTACAATATTTGAATGGCAATGGAATACACATCTCTGACAAAAGTAAACAAAAAGGAGGATATAAAAGAAGGACCATTTTGTAGTGGAAAAAAATATATATATATATATATTTGCATAAATATACAGCTACTTTCTCTTAGTTCAATGAGAAGGTTTTGAACTAATAGTGTTTAGATAAGATACATCTTCATCTCGTAGTAGGAATAACTACTACAAAGACAACAATATTCAATGTATTTCATTGCTACTTCTTTCTCAATAAAATTGTTAAAATAAAAAAGCATTTATGAACATTTAATTTTCTAAGGCTCCCAGACATTAGTAAAAATGAACAGAATACCACTTTGTTTCAATTAGAATACAATCATTATGATGTTTGCCATCACAATGAACATAAGATTAAAATATATTTGCCTTGGAATTGACTAATTCAGGTCTATTAAAGGACACAAAAATTAAAGATAACAGGCTTTATAAGTGTTTGGAAATCCACACTGTAGTCAGAAGTGTGGATATGAAATATACTGTCTTTGCTGCTTTACAATGATTCTATCAAAAGTGAGCTTGCCTGTTCTTTCTCCTTCAATAGAAAGAACAAGATTGAATAGACAATAATTGAATAGAAAACCTGAATATATACACTTTGTAATTTAGTACTTCATTGTCTAAAATAGTATTTCTTCCTAATGTAAAATTTTATCATATTATAAAATAATCTAGGAGCTATTTTGTAATTTAAAACAATTAAAATATTTTAGCACTCACAATTATTATTCTATATATTTAATAGGACTAATCGAGAGTGTCTGATCAGACCACAGCCCTGTAAATCATGTAATTTTGTTCATCATTTTAAATAAAGCTCTGCATAATACAAGCTCTTTCCATTTGGTGTTTCCTAATCCATTTATTTTGTACTTTTGTTCAACATGGATTAATTAAGCATGGATTAAAAATGTCTTAGGAATATTAGTTAAATGCAGTTTAATTCACAAAAATAAGAATTTGCTTTTTAGATTCTTTCTGTATATTTAGAATAGATTTAAAACTGAAGTGGTCTTTAGAACAATAAGAAACTATTCATTAATTTAAATTTTCATTTAATTAAGAAATGTAGACATTTTAACCATGTAAATACTTTATTTTATATTTATTTATTTATTTATTTATGTGGAGGGGGCAGCTCAGCCCACCACGGGGCGGGGCTGGCTGGCATGTGGTGCTGGGGGATTGAACCGCGGTCCCTGTGCTTTGCTAAGCTAGTTCTAAGTAGGTGCTTTGAACCACTGAGCCATTTTACCAGCCCACCATGTAAATATTTTAAATGAGAAAAGAAAAAACCAAAATTTTCCTTAACAGATGACTCACTTAAATATTATGTTCAAAGATGGAAAACAAAAGTGTGATGTCGTTCTTAAAGTATCAGGATCAACAAATGCTTCTTTAAATAGCAGAACACTAAAATTTAGAATGTAAAGGATTTTGCCAACAGCAGCACTGTCAAATTCTCTCTCGCCAGCTAAGTCCTTCAGCGTCTAATGTGTTGTCAGTGTGTTTCAGCTTCCAAGTTTATGAATAAAATGTCTAAGACACACAATTCCAGGCATCTCAGCATGGCTTTGGACTCTCCTCTCTCTGTTCTTCACTGTTAAATGGAAAGTAACGTTGCTTTGCAAATAATATTTCCCAAATTAATGTTCTCCAAATACACTGAGGATCACAGATGAATTATTTCATATGGTTTCTAAATTCATAATTTTTTCCTAACAATTGCATATCTTTTCACAAACTCAAAAGAATTTGGTGCTTCAGGCACAACTTACCCAAGGGTCTACTGCTCACTGCATGTAAAGCAGAGCATCGTATCAGGCACTTTTGTGGGCTCTACTTTTCCTGCCACTAGCTAGTAATGTGGTGGTACTCCCCAAATGGCTGTTGCGTTATTTTTGAAGAAATGGGCACTGTAACTAGTTATTAAAGACTACTGTAAATTCAATAAGTCTTACAGTATGTATAACAGTTATGTAGCAATAATTCGATTCAACTCAGTGCTTAGCTTGTTATGTATTCAAAACAATAGATCAAAGTTAAATCTGGGTTAAGTTTAGGATCAATTATTCTATTAATTCTAGAAATTTTTCAAATACAGTTTCTATCCCCATAGTAACTTAGAAATAATCTGCATTAAAGCTGACATAATAAACAGTTAATCTGCACACTTCTGATATGCAAGAATTCCAGCTACTCTGCTAATCAAATTGTACCACTTTTCAAATTTCAATTCCCTTTGTAAGTCACAATTAGCTGTGAGTCATTGTACAAATACAAATCTTACTAAGCCCATAAACAACTTCTCCAGTAACACATGGGTTTTGGGATCAGTCACTGTTAGGTCATGCCTTGCAATCTATCCATAACTGGTCACTGACCATCTTTTAGTGTAGCATTGTACACGCTTTGTCTTCTAGTGATAAATTTATGTAAAATTTTATGAAATAATTAGATCATAAAAAAAGAATTGGCCAACAAAGGTGAAGGCATAGTAAAGTTCCATGTAAGATGTGATAAGAAGTAATATTCATACAGAATATAAATGGAATCGCTGAAGAAATAGTTAAGCATGGGGATATGAATGATGCTATTTGCATCTTTAAAGATGTAACTAGGAACTTAATGAAGAAAAGCTAAGAAAGGGAAGCAGCTCAGAGGTAGAGCTCTTGCCTATCGTAGACAAATCCCCAGAACTGATGGTGATAGAGAAGGAGGGAGGGAGGGAGGAAGGAAAAACTGAGGTGGGGAGAGCAAAACTTGTCACATAAATCAAGAAACTGGATGTGATGTGAAGGACAAAGACACACTGGTGAAAATAATATCAACAACATATCCACAGCAAACAAGCTCTCAGAGATTCTAGAACACTGATCATACAAAGAATAAAACATTGACAGCTCCTCAAACTCCCAAATGAGCAAGTTTGCCAGGCCTGGAAATGATGCTCATGCCCCAGTAGGAGGTATAAAAGAAAATGCAAACTACTCCACAGAATTTCTGCAACATATTTAAAACTTCTGCTTTTGATGTGTTACATTTCCGTATAGAAATAATATCAGCATTTTAAAAATTTCCCTACACATTTATACTCTGTAATGAACCTCATTTTTAATTTTTTGACATTGTTAATATTACAAGCAATCGTAATGTGTCTATTGACTTTTAGGATTCCTCTGTGTGATTTTCACTCCTGTGATCATTTTTGTATTTGACGACCAGTGTGCAAAGCTGGATCTACTGGTATCACCTTGTGTAGCCTGAAGCCTATAAAAAAAATGAAGTTCTTATATCCTCAGTTGAGGAGGCAGATTCATACACAGGGAAAATGAGTGGCTACATGAATATCAAAATCTCCCACAGCAGAGTTCAGCAGAGGAAATCCTACCCAACTTTTGCCTTTTCCAGATAATAATAGATTCTTCTCTCAAATTCCACTTTTCTCTGATAGTTAAGCTTGAATGTTACGTAAAGAAGCAGCATTCAGCTACTCACAGATCTGGTCTGTATGAATCAGGGTTGACATGGGCCCTAAAAGTATGGTTTGTCCAGTCAGTGGATCCTGAGATAAGTGTGGGTGCATCGGGTGGTGGAGATGGCTTCCATCATTGGAGGCACCTACAGAAAACAAGTTGATCCATTAGTGATGTTCGTAAGGAACCACAAGTTTACCTTGGCACAGGTATTTGGGCCAACACCTTATATATTGCTACATTTGCAAAGTGCTTTTCTAAGAATTTTAAAATGAATTGGTAGAAAGACTGGCATATTAAAGACAATGTCAGTTTTCTGTATGCACTGGATAGATTAATTCTGCATCATAATGTTGTACATTAATAACAAATCTTGTGTGTCATTTCCTGGAATCATTAGGCTTCCTGACTGTTGGTAAGACAATTCCAAGAATCGCTTACATCAAATTTATTGTGTGTGGCATCACCGTAATAGCATGACTAATCTTTATTTCGGAAATATATCATTAAGAACACATTAAGCACCAGAATACTAAAAATAATACAATGATTTTACAAATAATTTAATGTATATTAGAACTTAAAATAAATGATGCTGTAACTTCTTCCTGACATTTATTATAGTATCGAAATCCCGTTTTTCTGTTCTGCTCTTCTGTGTCAACTAAATGCTTGGTTATGCTGCAATTTCTGTAATCCTGAAGCTTTAAAGGAATTAGGCAAATTAAAAAAATATAATGCAAGAGGCAGCAAAAGTGGGAAATACATTTCTGTTTCCTTTATTTAGAATGCCTAGGGCTGGCCAAATAGCTCAGCAGATTAAAGTGCCTGCAAGCAGATACAGGGGCCAGGGGATCAACGCCCAGGCCTACCATGCCAGCCCCACTGTCAGAGCTCACTGAGATGCCAATTAAGATTGGGCATGGTGGAGTGTGCCTGTAATCCCAGCACTCGGGAAGCTGTAAACAGGAGAATTACTACAAGTCCAGTCTAGTAGTGAGACCCTGAACACCCTGTAGACCATACCCTAAAATACAGAGGAAAAAAAATAGAATGCCTGAAAAGTGAAGTCAAAAGGACCATGTAGAAAAGATAGTGGAGGCTGACAAAGAATGACAATTTGAACATTCACATATTCTTGTCCCTCCCTATTGGGTTTTGCAGGTTTTTTACATGTAATAAATTGAATTTATTATGTCATGGAAGAAGATGACAAAGAAAAGCAGGATCCCCGAGCAACTTCAAAACATTAAATAAATGTGGAACCAAGTAAATGAACGGGGGAAATTTGTTTTAACAGACTTGGAGGACTACTAATCAACAACCACGGGAATTCCTCAAGGACTCACCACCCAGCAACATTTCCTGAAGCAGGTTGTCAATTTTGACCATGCCGAACAGCTTCACAAACTGTATCTGCTCTATCATTTGCCAGGTGATGCTCTGCAGTGTGGGCAGCAGCAGAAGCAGCTCGCCAAACCTTCCCCGGGAGTCATACTGCCGGTCGTTGATGTAGTCCTCCAGGCTGATCTGCACCTGGAACCGCATGTTCTTAATTTTCACTGGGTCGCTTAACCCTTTTGCATCTGATAAAGGAACGAAGAGGTCAATCTAAAGATTTAATCGGACTAGAATGTGAGAGAAAATATGTTCATGCAAAAACCTCTCATGAGCATAAATTAGTAATGAGATTTTGAAAACAAACCTGGATCAAAAAATACAATTGCCTTCAAACAAGCATACTCATTGTCGTCGATCTGGATTTCTTGAAAGGGTCTAACGAGCTCATCGAGAACTCTGTTGGCAACTCGGCTGATTTCAACTTCACAGCTGTTACGGTGAATAACATAGTTGTTTCCTAAAAGGAAAAATAAAGTCAGCCACTTCTTCTGTCAAACTGCCAAACATTGTTTAAATTTTACACCTCAGTAATTGAAAGGGTGTTCTCTTGAAGGAACATGCTAGTACATCTCTCAGCAGTGTTAGGTTAGTGATGAGAAAAGAAGTTAATACTTAAAGGATCAGTAATAATGCTAATGTGATTATATGCATTTTAACAGTCTCAATCACTAGTAAGGACGCAAAATTACAGACTAATCAGAAGCTAAGAATTGACCAGGAGGAGTCAAGTACGCCTGCTAGCTTTCCTATTTGCCTGTCATCTATCAGCTTTTCATTAGTAAGCACAGCGCAAATCCTAAAATGTATTTCTCATTCACAGGGTTAAAGCTCTTCTCTGGTACTCTAGGCCTATGAATGAGTAAGAACCATTTGCACCCAGTATAAATAAGTCTAAGATGATGATTTTTAAAACATAGCACATGTGTTCTTATGAATTGTCACAGCAGATTGTATATTCCCTGTTCTTCTTCCTGGGTTTCTAGAGAAGGGATAGAATTTTTTAGTGCTGAATCTGGCATTCAGAAATTGAATAGAGAACTGGACTATGCAATATATATTTTTTTTGGGGGGGGGTGTGAGTTTGAAAAAAGCCTTGCTATGTAGTGCAGGCTGGCCTTGAATTTCCTTGTGTAAACCAGGATGGCCTCCAACACACCATGATACTGTTTTAATCTCCAGAGTACCAGGATTACAGGCACATGACAACACACCTGGCATGCAATTCCTCTAGTTCTTTCTAATCTAAAAAAAATTTATCTAAATGATAAATAACATAGTAACCCATAAAATATAGCTAAACTTTCTGGCTATAAAACAAAAGCAAAATTTCTGAATTCTACCACTGAGGTAAAGACAACTACATTAGTTTAGACCTCCAAAGTCAATAGCTGAAGCTTTTGGCTTTAGACCAGATGATTGTTAGGAAGTAATGGAATGTTTAAAAGGAAGAACTTGATGGAAAGCAGTTCTATCACTGCGGTGTGCCAATGAAGCAGCCGTTAAGACAAACCCTGGCCCCTTCACCCTTTCTCTATCTCTCTTTACCCGAAGGCAAATGATCTTCTGCCATGTACTCCTGTGCCATGGTGAACTATGTCACCTCCAGCCTAACGATACAGAGCCAAGCTCTCTGAGCGTACAAGGCATAATGCACCCTTCCATCTTTTATGGTAACAACACATCCAGGTGTATTTATTCAATGTAGACGTACTCTTTTGTCCACAGCTTTAGTGAGGTATTTTGGACAAAAACAATGCATCTAATTAGAGAATAAAATATGATATTGGCCCATACATCATTGATTACCACCAATGAAATGATGATGTTGGTGAAATGCTTACCACAGTCAAGGTGAAATGCTTACCACCTGTGTGGATCACTTCATGTTACTGATTTATTTTGAGCTTTGTTTTTTCTTGGGAAAAGTTAGTTTATCTAATTATTCAAGGTAATATAGTTTAGAATGCTATAGCAGACACTTGGTTTTCTAAGATATACTGTATTTGGATCCATAGCAAGGACAAACAGCACTGGAGGTAGGTACTAGAAATGCCAAAGAAATATTTCGTAGAATTTCAGAGCATGGTCTCTGCAGTCACACTACATGGTTTAGAATCCTGACTCGCTTCTCTCCTAGCCAGGCACCCACAGGTAATCTTGTCTGCTTCTATTTCTCCACCTGAAAGTAGCCTGCACAGAACAGTGCTTAGATCAGTGATTGATTGAGTGTGTGTGTGTGTGTGTGTGTGTGTGTGTGTGTGTAAAGCACTTAAAGCAGAGCATTTATGTCAGAAGCCTTCCATAAGTAGCAGCTGATGTTTTATTGTGTTGCATTCATTCATATTTGGAACCAGAATATTTATGACATGAAAATATAAAACAAAAAATTCAGCCATCATTTTTCACAAGCCAGAAAGAGGTAAAACTAATAGCATTAGAAGAATCTCAGCTCTCAAAACCCAATCGTTAAGTACAATGAGGAGTGTAATAATTATTTAGCAAATGGCAAAGCTTTGTCTCTGAGTCTTTTCTCCAAGTACATTCCTATTTTTTCAAGAACTTACATTTATTAGAATTCTTCAGATATTGCCATCAATTTATCTTACCTGATTATCTCATAATATATTACATGAGATTATAGAGAATAAACGCATTCCTTAAAATGTATAAAATAATTATGATGCAGACACGAAAGGAGTATAAAACATGTTCAGACTTCAGGTGGTCATTTAATTCACTAATTTCTTATCCTGGTAAGATTTAAACATACCACCATATGTTTACTTAACAACATCTGCATTCATTTTTAAAGCCCAATTCTCTTCAATCATCTCATGCACTATGAATTTATATATAATCAAGGTAAAGAAAATTAGGGCTAAGTGAAGACAGAATCAATAAAATCAGATCTGTGAAACAACAACACTGTAAATGCTTCGTACATGCAGAATAGAGTGTACAGTTTATTTTAAGGACAATATAGACATAGTTTCTTAAAATCCTTACCCAAAAGCAAAATATCTTTATACATCATGGATCTCTTTGTAGCTCCAAGCAGTAAATGTTCCCCTGCATGAGCTCTTAACAGAGCCACCTTAATGAAAAATTTCAAGTTTAACAATTAATAATAGAATGTAATGATTAAAAGACAGCATAATATGATTCTGGCTAACTTGTAATGTTCTTTAAGCCTGGGACATTTTTGTTATTGTTTTGTTCTAACAAACTAGTACTCATAGATACTTGACTTCATAAACCTTCTCCATTTCTATTTTGTCAATAATTTACTTACAAAATTTTTTAAAGTATCTAATAATTCAATAGAGTGGCAGCAGAAAAAAAAGTACAGCAGCTCAATATTTTAGAGAAAAACAGCATCAAGCAGACTAGACTTCAATCCCAGACAGGTCACTTGCTATTTATTTCACACTGGTTACATTGACCGGTGTGTTTGAGACTCATTCATTTTCATCTGTAAAATGGACAAAATGACTTTCTAAAAATCTCCAAGAGCACTCATGTGGACTAGATAAAATACTCATAATAACCTGAATTATAAAAGAGAAAAGCAAAAGTCTACAGCAAGAGAAGGACCAGGTCTGGGTTCTGCTTCCTTTCAGCCTGAGCCTCTGACTCGGAAGTGAACTCTTTCACTGATCTTCACTTAGTTTCGTGGTTGCATTCTAGGCATCATCACTAGAAAGCAGAGGGAATATTTTAGACCCAAGTCACTCCAAGGAAATCCTCTGAGGTCTTCATCACCTTAGGAAATGTTTCCATCACCCAAAGTGCTTGTTGACATTCAAACAGGAGTCTATTCTGGTGCTAGGTTTTTCACGAATCCTAGTGCTGCTTTTCAGAAAATAAGTAAAACCAATCTACTGCTATTCATGTCCTTTTTATTCGGCCTGCTGTCCCTAGTCCAAGTCTTTCAGCTGGATCACCCCAAATCATTCAATACATATTCCTGCTTCCTAATGCTTCTTTCTAACTCATGTGTGTGTGTGTGTCTGGGATCGAACTCAACACTATGCACTTGCCAGTCAGGCTCTTAAGCCACTGAGCTATCTCTCTAGGCCCAAAAGGTTTTGGGTTTTTTTAATTCTTAAAATTTTGTTTTGCTTTGTTTTGTTTTGTACTGGGAATCAAACTCAGGACCCTGTGCTTGCCAGACAGGCACTTGTTTCTCTGAGCTGTGTCACCAGCCCCCAACTCATTCTTTTCAGAGCTTTGAAAGTGCTATTTGCAATACAGTAATCATTTAATATCACCCCTCTGTTGAAAACTCATCAGTGGCTTCCTATTTTCCTTAGAGTTTTTACAGCCGTACACGTGGTAGGAGGACTTAGTAGTTTAACTCTTTGTCTCCTGCACCCCACCCCCATGCTTCTGGCTTTATCTAGCAACACTCCTTGTTCACATGCTCCAGCCTGACTCAGAACCTTGAACGTGCAGGCGCCTGTACCCAGAACGCTTTCTCTTCTACTCTGCACTGCTGGCCCCTTATCATTAAGGCCTCAGCAAATGTCTTCTCTGATTCCCATGACAAAGTATCTTTCCATCGTTCCCCAACTCATTCTACTGCTCATCCTACTCCGGTTTATAGCATTTTATAGAACTTAGCTCCACCTAGATTTGACTTACTCATAATTTACATATTTTTATTGTCTGTCTCTCCCACATAGTCCACCAACTTTATGAGATAGTGAAGCAATCTGTATTTTTACTGCAGAATACACACAGTTCCTAAAACTGAACAGTAGTCTCCTAATAAATACTCATTTGATGAATTTATGGAATGAACTTAACTATATAGAGCTCAGTTTTAGAAACTGTAAAATAAAAATAAAAATCTACACCACAGAGCTCCTGAAAATTTAAATAAAGGAATGCAATTGACAATGCTTCTGAAATCTAATTCCCCATTGACTGGCCCACTGTAAATATGTGCTATTTTCTGGCTATTAATACAATACTTTTAATATTAAGCATCAGTAAGCAAAAACTTTTTTGATTAGTTACTGAATTTCAGGTTTCTGATATTTAAAACATCTTGCCACATAAGTCAGCAACTTTTAAGGAAGAATGATAATAAAAATACAAAACTGATAAATAACGCAACACTACTTATATTGCTTGGGTTGAGACTGGTAGGTTTTAGCAATTTAGCATTATTCACTGTGGCATAACCTTCTGGGCTAAGCTATCTTTATGGCATGTCAATAACCATGACTCATTTCAGGAAGGCAGTTACAGAACATTTTAAAAATGATTTCAGATTCACAGATTTTTTTTCCCCTGTCACCAGGTGAAACGTTTTCTTAGAAATATAACTGCTAACATTGTATGGTGATTTTTTTCTTGGATGTGTAAATATTTTTGCCTTCTTTGAGCTTTATGTACTCAAGTCCTTTCCTTTCCCCTTTGATTGTTTGTTTTTGTGTATCACCATTAAAGAGTACTGACCTGAGAGTATATAAATATACACTGAGTATAATATTTATCTTGGCTTATTTTTCCAATATGAGAGAAATGGAAAAATTATTTTTATTTATAAATGTTTTATATTGCTTAGCAAATAAGAGTTCATTCAAGATGAATCTGAAACAATCTAATCTCAGACTAATTAGAAAATTCAAGTTCCCAATGATTAACGTATGCTAACATACACATTAAAAATATAAAACTGTATGTATTAGGAAAAAATGAACTATATCTCAATTCTATTTCTCTGTAGAATTCTGATCATTATTCTATAAGGATTTCTGCCAGATCCATAATGTTCATATAATAAATGTCAGACTACAAATGCTAGTATGGAAGGCAAAAATCCTGCTAGTTCTATCAAGTGTCTACAATGACACCAATACTTTCTGTTCTGTTTTTGCCTCAAACTAGCCAGGTACTTCTGAACTGGACACGCATAGTCAGGAAACCGTAGACACAGAATTTACTTCCTAGACATTTAGTCTTCTAATACCTTGTCTCATGATGGTAGTTCTTTGCAATCTGTCTTTCTCCCTCAAATAAGCTTCTCTATCTCTATGAGGGAAGAACAATGTCTTGGTCAACTCTTATCTAATCAATAAGTTTTCTACAGCCTTGATATAGCAGTCAGGCAGTAGTGCCTCTGGACAGAACAAGAAGGTGGAATGATAAGAAAACCTAATCCTTTCTCACAAGATAATGCATTCCTTGGCTGATAAAGTACATGTATTACAAGTAAGAGTCAAAGAACACAAAAAGCTAGCAAAGTTCAGAAAACATGTTTAAAGCAATCATAATTTCCTTAACTTTTACCTGATCATCCAGCGGTAACTCACAGAAGGGAGGAATGTATTTGGCCCATTCCACCAAAACTAAGAGCTGCTGCTTCATAGATTCACAGACATCACCAATACTTGCAATTTTCTTAATGTTTATGTCAGTGCTTGCCCCAGGACTTGAGGCCGAGATCTATTAAAAGAACATGTTACTTCATTATTTAACATAACACATGGCCAGCTTTCTCATTTCAGTGTGATTGTGTTAATTAACCCTATTGAAGCAGATACTATTATTGCCACATTATCTTGAAATACATTAAACATTTTCCTTGTATGTAGTTTTTTTTTTTTTTTTTAGTTTTAGAGTCTAGGGATTGAACCCAGAATCTCATGCAAGTTAGGCAAGTAGTCTACGTCTGAACTAGACTCCCACATCCACACTAGACACTTTTAATTCAATAAATAAAATGCCTATCAGCTTCTAAGACATTCCGTACCTAGCACCATGATACTGGAGCTGCATTATTTTAAAGGCTAAGTGTATAAAGAAGTTACCACAACATTTGAGATGTAAAATTCCCAATGGCTACCTAATGGAGGCTGGCCAACTGAGGGAGGATATGCTATCTCAGTGTGAGGCAATGATTTCAATCACCATCTCCACTACCAGAAAAAAAATAAATGTTATTTCCATGAGGAAGTCCACCTTTGATTTGCTAATGTTTATGAAGAAAACACTCAGCCAGTGAATATAGTTTATAAAAGCAGAGAGAGAAGAGTTAGATGAGAGGCGCAATTACCTTATGCTAGCAAATTAAATGGGAGCCCATCAAATGTCATTAAGAAATGAACCTCTGATACAGCAATATTTGAAGACTGTAGCGTATACATTTCAAAGTGTGACAGTTAAGTCAGTAGCCTCTTTAAAACAGTTTTGCAAATTTAATTTTTGAACCTCTCTGCATGAGTGTCTTTATGTGCACCCAGATATTTCCTTATAGATTCTCTTTAAACCACTTGCTAAATGCTTTATGGGACCATCAAGTAATTGTCAAGTAATAATGATAATGGGAATATTAGCCTCATCATATCGTCCTGGTGTAATCAAAAAGGAAAGTAGTCTCACTGTCTCTGTAGAGGACCTGATTACTTACCCATTTCACAATATTAAAATAAAATTTCTTAAAGCATTTCTTTATTGAGTTCTTAGTTGATTTACTTTTACATCTGTAACAAAAGACTTAAAAAGTTTAAATCTGATATTCTAGGAATTTAAAATAATAAAGTTATATTTCACTGTATTTTCTAAGCTCTTCATTAAAATATCTGTTTACAAAGCATATGCCAATGTGACTTCTGGGGGTCCCAAAATCTTTTTGAAGAAAAGATATTCTGATGAGCTGATGATAATTCTCATCCAAGCTCCTCAAAAGTTGTAGCACCTAATTTGACAGATTCAAACACTAAAATTCTTCCCCCAGAACACTGTAGTTGATATTAAGCTTTTTCAAAATTAATCTTATTTTTTATAGTGTGTATTTAGTACAGGGTCTACAGGGTCTTACTACAGCTTGGACTCATAGTCATCCTCCTGTTTTCAGCCTCCCCAGAGCTGGGATTATAGGCATGAGCCAACCTACCTGATTTTGGTGGCCAGCTCAGCACGTGATACAGTGCCAGGAATCAAACTCCAGTCCCTGCACTTGCCTAAGCGTCACTTAGTCTCCTAAGCTATCTCACTAACCCAATAAACTATTGCTTCAATCAATCTTAAACTAAAACTTATATCATGTTTTAATTAAAAATGAGATCATACCAAGAAAAGTCACAATTAAATCAAGTCTCACTAATATTTTCAAATTAACACTCAACTTGTGTTGATCTTTACATTAGTAAAGAGCACTAATTAGAGTAAATTGAGATTATTTTAGTATTATGCACAAAGAGTTACTTGATTCTGTTAAAGAAAACTGAAGGCGAGCGTGCTGGTACCTGGCGAGACCGAATCTCAGCTTGTGCCAGTGTATTAATGGAAGGGATGTTGCTGCCATCAAATGTGTTCCTTCTGGTGCTTATTCTGTCACGTTCATTTTGAACAGCTAAAGGGAAAACCACAGTGTTTGCTGGTTAGATCTCTTTAATCTACAGCATGATATACAGCTTGAAGTTTTAAAAAAAATTACAAAAAGTGAGACATTATCTTTATAGAAGACTTGGGTGATGGAAGGTTAAGAATGGACATCTTTTCATCCAGTATTTTCAAAAGTAGGAAAAGCCAGGCATGGCAACAGAGTACACTGGAGCATCAGATTTGGGACACTGTGACATCATACACATTAGTGACTGTTAGGTCAGCCAGTTCCACCATGCTGTCTTTTCAATAGGTTGGCTTTTTAGTCCTCAAACATAGTAACAACTACATGATAGCTAGAAGAAGACCATTGACTATGAGGTTGATAGGGTCAAAGATAACACTGTATTTACTGTCAGAAAATATGACTCATAGATTTTGGAATTCTATTTTCTCTTTCCTGTAACACACTATCAAAATGGAAAGTAATTTTTTTAAATAGCTTTAAGATTACAATCTTATAATCAGTAATAAAACATTATTCCTAGGACAGTTTATAGACATTAGTTAAAAACATTGTACCAGTCTGAGTTATCTCCTGAGAAGAACAAAGTATGAGCATCCACTGTTTGAGAAAGGGAAGAAGCTCCTCATATCATACTATGTGAAAAGTCTCTAAGGGACCTAGATCTGGCTCCTTGTTTCAGAAAGAAGAAAAAAAAATGACTTTCTCCAGGTATCTTATTAATTAACTAACTACATTTTTAAATAAAAAGGAGAGTAAGAAGTGAAGCTGTAGCATATCTGTAAATACTGCTCATATAAAGAACAATAAAGATCAGCCGCCAAAGCTAAATTTCAAAGTGTGGGCTAATACATGATTATCTTCTATAACCAAAGAGGAGACAGTCAAGGCCTACAGCCCTTAAATTATTTAGGTCAATGCTTTTTTGCATTCTACTGGGATACCATGACATTAAAGTCTTAATTTTTTTTCTGTAATTATCCTTTTACTAAAGAAATGCACCAAGTTGTAGGCTATAGGCATGTAAAGGGGAACTACAAATTGCAATTAAAGATAAACTCTCATTAAGTCAGAGGAGAAAATACTGGGCTTTTTGCCTTTAAGAAAGAAGAAGCAGTCTTTAAGATTGAATGAATCATTAATATTTTATTTCAAAATCACACTTACTGGTAGCTTACTTTTCTCTAAACACAAATTGTTATTGATTTTCAACCTAAACTGACTCATTTGGAAATGCACACAGAGATAAAAAGTAAGATGTTTGCTATGCTTTTATAAATTTCACTATATAATCAATCTTTAGTATTTTTCTAAAAGAATACTAAATTCATATATTTTTGTCTAGCTAATTTCTATACTATGTTATTATTGTAAAGAAGAGTAATAGGTGGGCATAGTGGTGTATGCCTATAATCTCAGCACTTGGGATGTTGAAGCAGAAGGATTGCCATGATTTCAAGATTAAGGCCAGCCTAAGCTATAAAAGGAGACCATGTTTTAAAAACAGCAAGAGGGCCAGCCAAATAGCTCAGCAGATTAAAGAGCCTGCAAGCAGGTGCAAGGGCTGCGGGTTCAATCCTTAGGCCTGCTGTGCTGGCCCCGCCCCCGGGGCGCACTGAGACATCGATTGAGACTGGGCATGGTGGCATATGCCTATAATCCCAGCTTTTGGGAAGCTGTAAACAGGCAAATCACTGAGTCCAATCTAGTAGTGAGACTGTGAGACCCTGAACATCCTGTAGACCCTTCCCTAAAATACAATAAATAAATAAATAAAAAATAGCTAGACAGAGAGAGAGAGAGAACAACTTTGAAACTCAAAAGTAGCTCTGTAATGCAATTTAAAAATTAACATATCATTTCATAAATAGTTGAAGAAAAGTTTTCACTATTTTCAAAAACACTATATTACCACTGTAAAAGTCAGAAAAGAAATCTAAGATTGAGATTTTTTTTTATATGCTTGTGGGGGCAACAGTTGAGATTCAAGAATTGGCTAAAGATAACTGAAAAAGTTTATTAGTCCTGTAAGTACTCAACAGAGCTTTAGGTCATTAAAAATGACATTTCTGAAATAAACTGCTGCTGCTTCAATTTTGTGAACATCATTTTTGTTGTCCTCTTTAGAGCATGGCAATCTGAAAAAGTTAATGGAATTTTTGTACTTTCAAAATAAGGAAAGACAAAGAAAAACACCAGCTATGTTCAAGATACATTTGATATGCTTTATACTTCTGTAATGTAGTGATTTAATTTTTAAAATTTGAGACACAGTTATAAAAATATCTCTGTATGTGATAGACATAGTGATGTAGCAAAACAGAAAGACATAAAACTTTGCAGCTCTTACACCTGCCAAATGTTTAGAGTGTACTATGTCTCTAAACTAATGACATTTAGAATATAGAAGAACATAATCAGGTTGTTTAAGCATCCAAGATGATATTAACATACACTAAAATCATATATTCTACTTATGTGTCTCTGCATAGAAAAGAAACTCCCTAGGGGGTAAAATTGGCTGCCTATTGTGTTTAAATCAAAAACCTCAGCACGCAGAGCAGTGTTTAGAAAATGGGAGTGGTTAATAAATATCTGTTGATTGGATAAATGCATTAAAAAGTAAATGTTTAATGTTCATAAAGTGAATAAATATACTCAACTGTTCTGAGAATAAAAATGTCTTTAAAATACAATTATAATTTCATTCTATTGACAAAGCTTGCCATTTATCTTTTGAACTAGATATTAGAATGCTATTTGTAACAATCATTTTGTAGTCCACAATAGCATAATGATGAAAAGAAGGGCATCAGCAATCAGAGAGCATAGCTGGATAACCTCGGGCTCCATTCTCTAACTCAAGAAGCTTGTTAGCAGGTTCCATAGATGTGGAGGAAAAGCAAAATTCATCCAAAAGTTAATTGAGACAAATGAGAACATGTATGTTTATCCTTTTTTATCAGTAACAGCAATTATCATCATCATTACCTTCTTTTTTCATTCCTGCTCGGAAACATTTTCTTAGACGACAGTATCTACATTGATTCCTTTTGTCCTTGTCAACAACACATTGGCGACTGAACCTGTAGCATCACACAAAGGTGTATTAGTTTACAGAAAGCTGGTGAAAACAAACAAAAATGACTTTAGCACAGTCAAATTTGGCTTAATAAAAAGAGTGCCTAAGATCAATTAACTAAGAATTTTATTCTTAAGATCAGTGTGTGCACTCAAATACAAACCTCACCTCTCCCTTAGTCTTTACAGGAAAGTAAAACTGAATGACTAGCGCATTATTTGGCCATTGTCCTGTTATGAATCACGAAAGTCAAATCTAGCTTTAAAATCTTTCACACATAAATTCTAGTTGCTCATTGCTAAATGATTTCATTGTGTTGGAGGATACAGTAAAACTTTAATTCCTTGTACTTTCCAACTATTTTTCTTTTTATATATTATTCTATTCACTTAAATGACCTCACATCCAATGGAAACTTACTTAAATACTAAATTATGTGTTAAAAGACCATCGAGAACTACACTGAGTATTTAATTTCTTCATAATGATACATGATTTCTCATGCATTACAATGACTGTAAATTGGAGAAAGAATTATAACTGTTGGTAAAGATGTGGATAAGGAAGACCTCATACATTTGTGGTCAGAATAGTAAGTGATAACTTTGCTTTGGAGTAAGATTTGGGTGTTTCTCAAAACTGAGAACTACCATATGACTCAGTATTCCATGCTCAGTGTGTACCAAAGAAATAAAATCTGTCTCTAGAAGTTTACACACACACTAGCCCAAAAAGTGAAGCAATGAACAAATAGAACGTGGTAAGCCTGCACAAGGAAATAGGACTATTTATCAACAGATGGGGATGAAGTGCTGATGCAGGCTACTACCTGCACAAGCCTCTGGAAACACTTCTATCCTAAATAAAGAAGGCCAGACTCAAAGTTCCACATGTGGTATGATTCCGCTTATATGCAATGCCCTTGAGAGGCAAACATACAGAGTAACAAAGTAGACTAGTAATTGCCTCACACTGCTGAAAAGAGTTGGGAAAACTGTGAAGTGACAACTCAAGGACTCAAGGTTTTCTTATAAGGTGATGTGATTGCTCCAAATTGATCGCAGGGCTGATTGCCCAGTGCTCAATGGGCTAAAAACCGGAACTGTACATTGAGAACATTACAGTCTGTGACGTTAGACTTGAGTCTCAGCCTCAGGTTAACCATTCACCCTTGGTAAAACTTCAGGATGTTAATACCTGTCTACAATTATAAAAGAGAAAAACTCATCTTTTAGAACAATGTAGCTCAAATGTACTATAGCGTTTGGGGTACATATTAATCATGTGCCCCAAAACATAACATTTACTTAAAATTACCCTAAAACATAACATTTATTCAAAACTCTTATTCATATGTATTGATATATCCTGGTTTTAGTTATTATTAAATAATGAAAATGAAAACACATATTCTGTGACATACTAAAATTTACCTAGGTGGAAGAGGTGGCACATCCCTCTAATCTCAGCTATTTCAGAGGCTGAGGGAAAAATTCTTAAGTTTGAGGTCAGCCTAGAGAATTTATTGAGATACTATCTCAAAAAAAAAAATCTGCAGGGGTGAAGGTGTAGCTCTGCACTGGCCCTGTGTACCTTCCCCACTATCACAGAAATAATAAAGAAAATCTTTAAACTGAACAGCCACTCACAAATAACTGAGAAATGAAGCCCAACTTCAAAAGAGTTGAGCTAGAAGAGAAAGATGTTCTCAGAATGAGAAAAGGGCACTTCTCATTTTACACGTTGAATGGGGATTTTCAGGAGATGGGCTGAGGTTACCAAATACCACAAGGAATGCATCCGCAACGAACATTAAAGCTATAACGAAGCCTGACTAAGCATATCAAGTGTGGACATGATATTGCTGTAGGCAATAGAGAGCTAACTACTGTGTTTTTCCCGTGTAAGAACATTACAATCTAAGATAAGCACACAATCAAGATTACAAATAGCCATTATCAAAAGCTTTGTGTGTAAAGCATTGAAACAAGCGCTTTAGGATGAAAACGTCAGGTTCAATGGCATCCAACCCTTAGAATGAAAATGAATCTATAAATCTAAAGAAATAGATAAAAACAACAAAACCTGAGTTTAAAATAGATATTATTCCTCTAAATTTGCACAAATATCATAACTACTATCCAAAAGGAATATCACGCGCTTATTACCAAAACATGTAAAGAAAGATTAAGTTAATAGCACTATGTGTGATAGGAAAGTGTGAGAAACTATATGTGTTCCTGGGATATTTGATAAAATTAGAGAGGCTGCTCTAGAAGCTGAACCTTCTCACTTTCTCCACCGAGGATGCAGGAAAATCTAAACAGTCCTTGCACTGTTATTCGTAGTTTATTCGAGGTTGTGGGAATTAGTTGTTTGACTTAATGTAAATTTGACTTTTAAGAGAACAGATGACTTCAAAAAATAGTTTTATTTTTATCATAATTGTTCATTTTTAAAGACACCTACTTCAGACAATCTTAGAGAAAATATTTTGATGGGACAATATTGCCTTTTTATATTGCAGATTTTTCATATAAAAATCCCAAACTCATAAATATTATTTCTTTGTTAAATTTTTAAGGTGAGGTGAGGCCAAATAGCTCAGCAGATGAAAGTGCCTGTTTAGGCAGACACAGGGGCAGGGGTTCGATCCCTGGCATGCTGTGCTGACCCGCCCCTGGGCCCCACTGAGCTGGCAATTGAGACTGGGCATAGTGGCACATGCCTGTAATCCCAGGTCTTGGGAGGCTGAACACACGTGGATCACTAAGAGTCTGATCTATACAATGAGACCCTGCAGACCCTGTACTAAAGTACAAAAAAAGAAAGGTAAATGATTTATATTTCTTTAAACCTGCATCAAACTCTCTTAGAAAAATTTCTTGAGAACACTAGGTAGATTTAGGGAAGTTACATATTAACTTTTATTTTACCCCACTGAATCAAATGGCACCATGATTTAAGAGGGTTTTTCTAAACAGTTCAATAAGTTCTTAAAATTATGTAAAACTGCTAACATGGTTTTCTTCAATAGAGCAAATACAGAGTTCCTTGTGGTAAAGTACCTTGGATTGGTTCAGAGCTTCTATTCAACCAATACATAATTTGCCTTTGGAGACTGTCCTACCAAACAGATTAAATGACCTTGCTGTTAACTAGAAATTATTTTAAACTTTCAGAGATACATAACACATATATAAATATCTTTATGTAAAGCATTGAAATTCAATGGGCAAACATGGCATGAAAAATAAATTTTAAAATTTAGTACTAAAATTTTAAATTTCATTTATGGAAAATAACAAGCTACAAAATCATCTTCTACACATTGATAATTTTGTTTCAAAAGATTTATAATTTAGTGACAGTAGAAAGAGAATGTACAGAAAAAGAACACATTGAGAAATCATTTAAATTCATATTTTAAAATGTTTACTGGTATATGAACATGTGGTAAAACAATAAAGAGACACAAGGAAAATATCACACCAAAATCCACACGGTTGTTACCCTAGAGAGACTAGGAAGAAACACCAAGCGACTTCTGGGGAGGTGTCCACTGGAGGACTCAACTATATTGGTCTCAACTGGGTGGCAGAGAAGTGAAATTCTTATATAATTTTTACAAGTTTAAAATGTTTCATAAGAACGTACACCTGTGCGAATACATCACACGTACACATCCACATGTCTTCACTTTTATTGCAGCTTGAAGATTGTTCATAGAGCTACGGATCTAAGAGAGCTCTAAAGTGTCTTCCCTTACGTCTTGCGTGCGATTTTCAAACTTCTCTGAAAGTTAACGTTCCTAGAAGGAGCATTGTACGAACCTGCAGGAGTAAACGTGACTCTTGCGTATGCTGCGTCTGAAGAAACCTTTGCACCCGTCGCAGCTGGACGCCCCATAGTGCTTTCCTGTTGCTCTGTCCCCGCATATGGCACAAAGACAGCTGATGCCATTGTCTGTGGTGTTCATACTTGTGGTCTCTGGGGTAGAATTATCTGTTAAATAGTAGAGATACAATTAGTTCCTTTTTAAAATTAAATTGCTCTATTCATTATTCATAGTCTTGAAATAGTCCAGTCCTTGGCTTCTTGGGAGACTCTACAAGAGTGGTTTTCTTTGAACCTGTGGCTGCTTCCATTCTACGCATGAAATTTTGGAACACTATATGGCTCCATCCTCCAACTATAGTCCCAACGGAGGCTCATGAGGTCTCAAGATACTAAATATATTCTGTATAACAGAAAAATCCTCACGTTCTATTTCTGCCCTGACATCTCCTCTGGGCATCAGTCTGAAATGCTTCAGTACTATTAAGAGTATCATTTGGGCCAGCCGTGATGGCCCAGGCCTATCTGTAACGCATCCCAGCATTCTGTGATGCTTGCTAAGGAGTGTCACAAATTGTAGTCCTATCTGTGGAGCTTGACTAGCCCTTGTTTCAAAAGAGAGAACGAGAGAGAGAGAGAGAGAGAGAGAGAGAGAGAGAGAGAGAGAGAGAGAGGAAGAAGAAGAAGAAGAAGAA